TAACACCTAACTTTTATGTTCATTTTACACACTCATTCCCACCCTTGCATAAGCTTTGTTCCTTTTTTACCCACTGATCACGAGTTTGCTCATCAGTGGAGTGGGAACCCATTTTCGTGGGATCCCATACATCAACACCAAGGGAAGCCACAAAGGTTGCTAGTGAAACTACTGGTTAATATATTTAATACTATATACAAATGAGCTGATAACATAAATTGGCCACTATAGAGAGATTCTATAACATTTCAAGCATTATCCCTTCATCTGCATGAATCAACAGCTTTAGAATCTTTCTCAATGGTGGTGAGTGCATACTTCCTTACATGCATGGGGTGCTGGTTTGGTTCCATTTATTTGAAATTAAGAAAATTGAAATAATATTGAACTTATAGTAGTGCATACCTTCTTGCAAAGATTGGATAGCTCAATAGTCTTGTAAAAAGAGGTCCAAACCATGGATTTGACACTAACTGCAATTATAATACATTGAAATCATGAACAAGTATCTTTAACCACTTAAAGTGTTGCCATGATTGTAATGTTAGTTAGTGTAAAAATAATGATAAAATAATTGAAGCAAAACATTACCTTCTGAATTACTTTAGGGAAGTTTGTGTCTGGAAATATACCTTTAAATTGATTAAAAAATAATAAAGGGAGTTAATAATATATTTAAGCATTGATAATAAAATTAACTTTTTCAAATTAGACAAGAAAAAGTTATCATCACTTGTGCTAACACTCATACAAATGGGAGCAACATTTTCAACATAAATTTTTAAGTATGGAACCTAGTAGCAACATGGGTGATCACTTCTTTGTACTGAATCAAAATTAATCTCTTCATAATACAATTTTTCATCACCTCATCTGCAGGCATTTTTAAATTCTAAATTTTATATTTTAACTGGGTTCCTCGGGTGGTTCCTTTCTGATTTAATTTTGTTGTTGTTCAAGGTGCATTTCTTTTCATCAATATGAGATACAGTGTAAATATAAGAAGTTGTTCACCTCCATTAGTTAAACAAAGGGACTCTATTTTGACAAACTCTGCTGGATCCAGCTCTTTCTTTTTCCTTTCTTCATATCTGCATGACAACAGAAAATACCGTTTTCAGAGAATCCAAGAAACAATAATCTAACTTACATTTTAAAAACAGTCATTTCATTTTTTTTTTATATTGAAAAGAAAATTACAATATGCTGAGGGCTACACAAGTGAAGGAAGTTTAACCCCTAACTCCCATGAGGGACTAACTAAAAGACAGATTTTCTGCTTACCCAGGGCCAGACAAACAACTACCTACAGACTAGTAGAAATTCAGTTTTGGCTAGTGGTTTTTTATTTCCACTGGCCAGTTTGGCCAGTAAACAAACTGACATTGTTGTAGCATCTAAGTCGTCACAAGCCACTTGGTGAGTAAGCTGAAAAGTGAGCGTTGGGCCCTGTTACCATATCAACACAAGGGCATAGCCAGGGGGGGTCCTGGGGTGCCCGCGACCCCCCTTGGTAGGTCTTCTTTAGAGCAAACAACCTACAATATTCAGGTGGTGAAAACGCCATGACAACATCTTGGCCATAAAAGCCATTGATATGGGTCTTCATGCCGAGATAATACGACTGAGCCCTCTGATATACGCGGGACAGCAGTGGTGTAAATGGTGAGTAGCCTCTGTGACCCCCCCTTTGAAAAATCCTGGCTACACGCCTGCAATACCATGTGAAGCAGATAAGTGATGAGACAAAAAAAAAGGAACAAGGGGACCATTTGTTGATCCAATACCAAATTCTCCAAACTCATCACATAAAATTGAATGGCAGACAGTAAGGAGAATTGCTAAATGAGATCTCGGGAGCAATAGGGTTAATTGAGTAGCCATACCAAGAAGCATCACTAAGAATCTTGGGGAAATGATTCAGGCTTACTCGCTGTTTTGAATCCAGTATTCATATTCCCCATGTTGTTCTCTATACATTACCTAAAGTGCTGACAAGGAGAATTTGTTTAATATAAAGAGCTTTTTTTAATTGATGATCATTTTCTTTATTTTCATGACCTTAACGTTTGATTCAAGGGTGATATTGTAAGGAGAAATTAGATGTTAGTCACTCATAGGTCTTATTTTCTATTTTTATTAACGATATCAAAGCTGTTAATACTAATAANGAGTTAAGCACCGGCCTAATGGGCCACTAGGCTCTTAAACAGACTTTACCTTAATACCTTTTACTCTTAGGGTGTAAGGGTTATAATTATTCAAACTCTAGAAAAGCGCAGCCTCATACAAGTTGCACGTAAGTTAGGAATCAAATAAATGTAAAGGTCATATAATAATAGTGTAATATAAATTATAAAGTAAAAAATCTGTAATTCAGTTATCCATGTACCTTGCAAGCATCTCTAGAGCCACTGTATCACCCAAGTCATGGGCCAAAATGTGAACTTTGGTAATTCCAAGGTAATCTAGAAATGCCTCTTGTAATGTGGCTTGCTCCATTACTGTGTATTCTCTTCCACGCTTGATAATAAAAAGAATATGAGTACATTTAGCTAGCTAACCAGGGATGTGTATGATCCTGCATTTCCACAAACTTTCAAAAGTGTCTGCATAAAATGTCATATGAGTAGACCACTAACAGCATTACTAGCTTAACTCTGTTGCTAAAAATTAAATATTTCTAATCACATAATTCCTACCTCAATTGTCATTTGTAATTGTAATTGTTTTTTGTTTCATTTTTTTTTTTTCTTATTGCGTAGGAGTCTAGTTAATGGAACGTTAGCTCTGAGAGATCTCTCCTGCCAAATTGTTTTTGGCGAAGCTTATAAATATATAAAAGAAATAAATAAATTACCATGACTAGTTGCTAATTAAAATCAAAACATGAATACAAGGTTTTAGCATTCGGAACTGTTTGTCTGAGTAGGTCACATATAAGGCTGTCACTGCATAATGCAGAGGGAGATAAAGTGTGAATGCTCAACATGGGGGCTGCTGAAATGACGAGCAGTTGAACAAAACTATCGGTGATCTCTGATAGTGCCCTTGTGTGCAGACACTCTGTAGAAGATTTGCTGATCACTAGCCATTTTAACATGTTTAACCATCACCAGGACAGCTCTGCTTGTAATACTTACAGGCTTATCGCTGAATCCTAAACCAAGCATATCTGCTGCAATAACTCTTCCAAAATTTCTTTTGAGTTTTTCCCAAACCTGAAATATGTCATGATCAGAGACGAATATAATTTTACTGAATAATTTAAAGATTTACAAATATGTCAACTGTTCCCATTGACAACCCTTTACTTAAGATGCACAAGTGACAGCCCTGGTACTACGATTTTCAGTTGATTGAGGTTCAATGGAACCATGGCACCCACATCCCGTGCCCATAACCTTTTTGGTTTGCTATCCTGGAAAACTAGCTCAGTTTTCAGTGGCAACATGTTGCTATAATTAGTTACCCCTTCTGGAACATTGATTGATTCTGAAGCGAGTGAGAAAAGCTGCCTCATTTTAACCTTTTTCCAACAAATGAAATAGTAGTTATTAAATAAAAGCAAGTAAAAAGAGATCCTGGATTAAAAAAAAAAGATTGTTTCTTAACCCCTCCTGCCTTGCAATGCAAGTAGAATTCTAAATCACGTTTACCTTTGACCAGTCATAATTACTGGTAGGAAATCCATGAATACAGAGAACCACAATATCTTCATCCTTCTTATAGCCTCTAAAATCTGCAAATAATTTTCTTATTCATAAGTTGTTAACAACAAACATGAAGTCTGCAAACCATACCAAACTAGGAGCTTCGAGGTCATTTTTCTTTTTTAGTTATCTTCAATATTTTCTCATAGGAAATTACTATAAATTGGAGGGGAATGAGTTTGCGAATAAGGTTGATAATGAGCCCAGGGAGCCTTACATTGCCGCAGCCTCTTGACCTGACCTCCCAGCATTAAGTGACTTTGAGCATTACTCCCACCCCCCCACCAAGGGATGTCATTCTACCAGAGTGTCAACTCCTCTCCCCTTACTCAAAGTATCTCATCGGGTTTCCTGAAAGTTTGCTTGTGCCAATTTCCCCTTTCACTCCCAAGATCTCATTCATAATTCTCCTTACTCTCTGCTCTATGATTCTTATAATATTATTGGAGAATTTCACTTTGAATCGACCAATAATTTGCTCATTGTTATTTTTTCTTGATTCTCATCACTTTTCTACTTGATTATATTGATACGGTAAGGAGAAATTCACTCTTGGTCACTTATAGAAGTTAAAGGAATAATACTCTTTGTTGGTCAGAGAGGGATTTAGAGTTGGGAGTTAGAATCTTTGCCAAGACAACAGAAGCACCTCAGCCGTAACTCAAACCTGGACCCTACGATTACAACGTTATATCGTAACAAACCATCGGGCCGTGAATTAGGCCTCAGCGTCTTTCACACTAACAAACCCATTTCACGTCTGTGGAAACGAAATCGAACTCGTTTTGGATGTCCACGAAAAATGTCAAGGAGTGATCTTGCTTTCCTTCCACATGAATTTCATGTCTTTTACGCTCAAGTTAGTCTTCATTTCCCAGACATAAATTAGGGAATGCCACGCTTGCAGTGGCTTGTATACAAAGCTTCTTTCATTCAATTTGAAAGAGGGCTTTAAACATTCCCTTCTGCACGACTCGCGACAAAGTTTATTTCAGAGTAAGGAATTAAAGCCCATTATTCCTTCCAAGCACTCAAACAAAAGTACGAAAATCCAAAGGGCAAATTTGAACCATTTCAATTTCATTTCCAGCTCAAAAAAAAAGGTTTATTTTAAATTGACAGGCAAAAATTTACTGCGAGTAAACATGCATATGACTCGCGCGCCACATCTTACCTTGATAGAATATCGCGTTCCCCTCATAATTAAAATATTGCCCCATTTTTCGCCATTCCTCTAGCCTCTGAGAGAAATTTGGAGCAGGTAAATTAATAAAGGAAGCGATTGCAACCGCAGCTACGGCACAAACTATCTGAAAATTGGAGACCGCCATGCTAAGGAATATTGGATGTGTGATCTTTCGCGCGAGGCCTGGAACAAAATAACTCTCCCCTCCCCCGCCTTTTTTTTTTAAACTACTAAGTAACCGCGTACTTGACGACACAAGAAACTCGAGCGAACCAAGATGTCAGCAACAAGTAGATCCGCGAAAAAACCTTCCAATGTAAGCTAGTTTCTCGTCATGTTAACACAGATTGGAATTTAACTGTTGTTATTTCCATCTTGAGCTTGATGGGATATATTTTATTTACTTTATGGGGTAGATTTTGGAGAAGAAAATCCACAAAAATCCCAAGTATGATCATATTGGTGCAACCGTTGACACGGGTAGGCTTTTTGAATGGAAATTATTGTAATGAATTCGGATGATTTGATCTTAAATCTGTGAGACTTGTTGCCATCTGATGAAAATATCTACTTCTACTTCTAAGGAGCCAGCATCTCGAGATATGAGCAAAAGATCGAAGAAATGCGGAAAAGTAGGTGACCTTACATCTCGTAGCTAATTAATTCAAACATTTAAAATTAAATTAATTCTTAAGTTTAATCTGTTAACTGGTTTTGATCGAAAATGAAATATCTTAAACTTACTTTGCTAGCTATGCATTAAAATAGCTGTTTTGCCCGCTGTCAATATCCACCTTTGGTCTGTAATTAAATATTTAACTGTCATCTGGATTGTTGACCAGATGTTTACTTCCTTGAGATTTCTTGTGAAGGGTATATTATTAACAAACTTCAGCAAGAGTACCATATAACCCCATACATTAATTATGCATTCAGTCTTTGTTCCATGTAAACAATTGCGATAACATTAGAACACCCCAGAGACTAGTAGTCTTTTTTTTCAAAATTTGGATTTTTTTTTAAGTCTTTTTTGAAACAGGGTATATTCGGCGTGTCTTGGCTTTGCAAATCAAGAAATTTGAGTCATTTTCCAGAGGTTTTTAATTTTGAAATATAATTGAATGTTCAGTTTGGCGTTGAGAGCTTATGGGTGGCGGCAAAATAATATCAAGGCTATCATCAGGCTGTAAAGTTTGTCAATGCAAAGTTTAAATAAATCTTTTATCTTACCTGTTCTTGTGGATTTGGTTGATTGTTTCATTATCTTTTCGTGCCTGAGTGATGAAAGTAGATCACGAAGGCCGGTGCATACTGCGATGCAAAGAAACCTTCATTAATCTAGTCTTTCTGGCCTTCATAAAGGTGGGCGATATGTTCGATGTTTCCAAAGGGATCGTTTCCGTAGTGCTGATGCCACACATAATCTTGTAGGTAGTCATCGAAAAGTCCTTTGGATGTTCCTGTTTGAAGCAAACCTCGCTTGATTCCCCAACATGTATTTTCAATGCCCTGTGTGTGGGTACCAGTGTCTGGGTCAATGAAGTTTAGGCTGTGGTTTACTGTGAGATGATCATAGCCTTCATCATTTAGGCAATTGTAAGCTCTCCATAACTTGCTCATCACATGTCTCCCCAGCAATATTTGAGCGCGTATGATGGGCAATAGTGTATCTTTGTCCCTACACTCTACCGGAACAAGCCCTTGGTTTCTCTGCAAATGCCACCGAATACCCACTTTCCTTCGATGGCGCGACCTTGGTGATATCGATGAATAAATTTTGTTTTTTATGTGGCATTTGGCCAATCGTAGAGAAGAAGAAATGCATTGATTCTTTAGTGCAAAGGGAACCTTTTGGGCATTATATCAATGCACATATTGTTATGAAAATTTTTTTCGGTGAAAGGTAAAACAAAAAGTAATTTTTGGAGGATATCTCCTAACTGATTTATGTAGCATAGTGGTCAAGGCAATGGGCTGGTAATGGTCAGGTAATAATGCGTTGACTAAAGACCAATGGTTCAAGGCTCAGCAGGGCTGCTTAGAAGGTATAAAAAGAAAAAAAAAGGAGAAATTAGTGGGAATAAAGGGGAGAAAGGAGAAGAACGTGAGACAAACATAAAGAAGGAAAAGCCACTCTCAATCAATTTCTCTTTTATTGAAGCAGTAATTACTTATTAGTAATGTATATATGCTAAATCCTTGGGAATAAGTTATTGTCTTTAAAAACAATAACATGCATACATAATTAATGACATGGAATGCATAATTAATGTATGAGGTTATATGGAACTTTTCCCCAAACTTCCAAGATAAGAAAAAATAAATCACCATAAAAGAATAATTATGAAAGACTGTCAAATCCACTTCCAATCCTCTCATTTCTCTGATCCTTGACAGTGACAAACTTAACATTTCTCCACATTTAACACTCTAGATTACAAATACAGAAAGGATGAAATTTTCAAGAGAATGAAGGTTTCAACGTTGACACAGCTGGTATGTTATGGATTTTGTCTCTTGTGATTGTAAACTTGAAGTATGACCAGACAGCCCTCTTACTAAACCCTTTAAGTCCCAGAAGTGATTAACATGTAACTTCTCCTGGTAATATCCTTACATTACTCAGCTAACAGGTAACGAGAATACTCAAACTTGTCTGGTAGAAGTTATCTTGATCCAACACTAATTTCTTACAACTGATTTGTAAGGAAATGTATAGCAATTAGAGGGGAGAATTAACAATCGGGTCTTGATAGTTAAAGGGTTATGGGTGTATTAGATAAAAGACAAAGACTCGTAGTAGTGCCTGCCAACCTTCTCTCTCCCCCAGTTTCCCTCAATAAAACCCCCAGGTATTCCCTTGAATATGAAAGTTGCTGTCAATTGGAGAGTTGGTCTTTGGACAAAACCGATTTTTCTCCCCTTCTTTCCTCCCCCTTGCTTTGTCAATCGTCCCAAATCTTCCACCCATTCAATATGGTGACTGGATATTTGCCATGCTGGATCTTGTGCTTGAAAACTCACATCTTTGGCCAGATGAGTAAATTTGATCAACTGCTGGCTCATAGCTTAGTTATGCTGAAATTGAAATAAGCTTTGACAGGATCAGTTTTCTACAATGTAAGCAGAAGTTACCTCAAAGTTTACTTTTATTGTCTTCCCTTAAGAGCTAAATTGCCACAGCAGGACCCCTATACCAATGTTTTATAATTTTGTCAGAAGTAAACTTTANAAAAATTGATAGATTTCCAGCTAAACCTCAAGTTTTCAATGTTTCAATGGAGTTTAAAAAAAAAATTGATAGATTTCCAGCTAAACCTCAAGTTTTCAATGTTTCAATGGAGTTTAAAAAAAAAATTGATAGATTTCCAGCTAAACCTCAAGTTTTCAATGTTTCAATGGAGTTTAAAAAAAAAATTGATAGATTTCCAGCTAAACCTCAAGTTTTCAATGTTTCAATGGAGTTTAAAAAAAAAATTGATAGATTTCCAGCTAAACCTCAAGTTTTCAATGTTTCAATGGAGTTTTGAAAAAAAAATTCTAGATTTATTTCAATAGCTTTTTTATTTCCTTTTTTGGTTCTCATTACTAAAAAAATTAAGTCTGTCCTCTTTAGATGACGATGCTTCTCAATATTTACCAAGTTTGTAGAACAATTTCTTGTATCTATTCATTTAGTCTCATACATGGTGTTGGAGAAGTTGACATACGGGATCGGGATGAAAAAGAAGACAGGGACACCAGCTTTAATGAAGAGCAGTTGGCAGTTCCTGAAGTTGAATCCCTGCCATATCTTTTGCTGGATGTTAGAGATGAAGATGCCTATAAGAAATGTCATATCATAGGAGGTGTGTACGCGTAAGGGTCATGTAGTTATGAGGGTGTGTCTTTGGTTTGGATTAATGTCTTTACCCGAGCAACTGCGCACCTAACTCCTCCCCTAATGCAACAACAGTCAACTGATAACAAGTAAGGCTTGATTTTGGGTTAGGGGAGGGTTAGGTACGTGGCTGTTTTCCGAAACTGACACTGATCCATTTCTTGGAACAAAGAAAGCGTTCGACCTTCAGAGTAATTACAGAAGAAGTCAGATACATCCTATCGATGCGTTTTTGCAAGGGGAGCGCTCTGTATCTCATAGCCAGCAAGCGATATCAGCACTTCGGGTCGAACGGCTCGGCTTGATCATCAATGTAAAGAGCTGGTTTGTGTCAAAATGACAGGTCTGGTCACTTTTCACCAATCAGAATGAGGCCTTGATCATCACTAAAACGCGCTGATTTTTGTCCAAATAACAGGACTGCCACATTTTACTAATCAGAATGCTGCATACGTTGGCTGCGACTCTTCTTAGATCTTCCCCGGGCCCGTGAGATCGTAGGCTCAATATTTTATTATAATATTTTTGTTGACAAACGATTGCGTAGATTTTTGTAGATATTAAAATCAGTGTATGTGTTGAAATCACTTGAGCGTGTGCTTTACTTCGTCCTTCGACCTCGATTTAAGCCTGAATCGTATCATCGGCATCATCGGAAATTTAGGTAAAAACAATTTTTGACCAGCATCTTTGATTTCACATTATCAGGAGGTCGCTTGTTCCAAGCACCCAGGCCAGAGGAACGATGCTTAGCAGTTGTCAGGGGAAACGTCAGTTCCTGAGACATTAGATATTTCATATCAGAGCGCCATTCAGTAGTAACTGAATCTGAAATATTTTTTCCAACACTGAACGTAAGTTTGTCAAAACTAACCGTTTTCTTTATTTACAGCTCTTAGTTATCCTTCTTCAATGCTATCAAGATCATACAACTATTTCACCAAAGAAATTCTTACATTTGTATCCTTTGTTGCGGAAGAGGGGTTATTCTGAATTTTATTGAAGTAATGTAAATTCGCGAAATTGCAACATACACCAAACTTAAGGGTTGCCAAACGAAATCAGCACATGGATACGCTTTCAGCGATCTTAACGCCAAAACGCGCGATATTTTTCATAAAATCATAAACCTTTTAAATTCGTGGAATCCTAAAATAGAATGAACTGATTTCGATGTAAGCCGAATGTTTCACCAGACACCAGTAAGAACACTTACTTTGGAAAAGTAGTTCGCCATTAGCGTAAATTGCAACCAGTCCTTCATTTACGGCCAAACGCTGTCGTGCTAGTTAAAAAGATCATTGGAAAAAATTGATGTTCACGCGCCACGCAGACCTATCGGAGTAAGGCGCACAAAAAGTACTTTTGCGTCTCATTCCTAGTTTCTGTGCGGCGCGGGAACATAATTTTTTTTTTTTCGCCGATTTTTTTTTATTTCTCGCACGACATACTCCGCGGCCGAAAAGTTACGACTGCGCATAATCTGCCATTTGCGTCAAAGACATTTTTTAAAAATACAGCTTACTTAGATTACTTGCTAAAATTTCTGGATTTACTATGTTGGTAAGGTCAAGATTTGAAGTGATTTGTTGTCTTTCCTTGATGGTTTTATCATTTTTTGTGTTCGCGTGCGATTCCTAACGTTAAAATATTGACAGAAAAATAAGCTGGGAAAGATAATAATACTGTATGATGAAGATGAAAGATTGGCTCCCACAGCAGCAACAACATTTGTACAGAGAGAGGTTGACAATGTTTTCATGTTGTCAGGAGGTGAGAAAAGTCAGAAAAGCTTTGGCTTTCAACGTTAACAGATTTCCAATAACGTACCGATACATTCCGAAAATTGCCGAAGATTTTCCGACGACCTTCGAAGGCTACTGACAGTCATGTTGACGCGTAACTAAATCAGAATCTACGAAGGTTGAGACTTAATTTTCAAGTATTTATCACTATTAAAGCTATAACATACCATAGCTTAATGTTACTATTGATGAGCTCCAAGACCACTATAGTAAACGGCAGTGATTCGTTTTGCAGGTCTCAAAGTGCTGTATAAGAAGTTTCCCGAAGGTTTAATCACCGGTCAAGTGCCACAATCCTGCTGGCCCACCCCTCCCCCTTCACGAAAGTCATCTGGGAAAGCGACTAGCTCGACGAGACCCAGTCCAAACGCCTTTGCCGATCAGAAATGGTTTTATCCAGAGGGTATCTTTTGCAATGAAAATGAAACTTAACCAAGAATTCTTGTTACACTAACATTCGGTAAAAATGTTACGATGATTTCGCTAATAATTTATACTGCTCCAGATTGAAGTAAATCGAGGATTATCTTAGAGGGTCATACCTACAGCGGTAAATCTTGGGTGAACAAAATTGAAGAATTCTTAGGCCGAGAAAAGGCGTAGTTATTTGAAAGCGGGTGAAAAAACTTTTAACCTCCTGACTTCGAGAAGCGATTTACGAGCAAATTTTCCTTACAGTGCTGATACCTTTTATTTGCAAGAAGGTGACGAGAAATGACAAACTTATCAGCTTAAAGATGCCATCTTGATTTAACAAGTTATTTTTCTGATAACTATTTTTCAAAGAAGGCAGATCTCTAGTTTTTGTCAATCTCGTCGATAAGACCAATACTCTGTCATGTATGCGTAAGATATCTCCTTTTCTGATAGCTATTTTTCAAAGAAGGCAGATCTTAAGTTTTCATCAATCTCGTCGATAAGATCAATATTCTATCAAGTATGCGTAAAATATCTCCTTGACATGATTGCAGACCTGATAAAACTCCAGGACAAACTGGATGATGAACTTCTGAGTCAAGACAAGAGCAGTAAGTTTACGTGTCATATGATATTCTGTAGAATTCCATGAATGACAGTAGAGGTGGCTTATGAATGTAAAAAATTAAAAGAAGGAGAGAAAGAAAGACAAGTTGATGGATAATTGATCGATAGATCAAACGGACAGCTTTTTCCAGGCCGGCTCAAGTCGACCCGTCCGGCCTTGCTCACGTCAGCTTTTACTGTGGGTTTTCTATGGGATTGCGCGAGCGGGATCGGATGGGTCATATGATAAAAAATACTTATTGACTTGGTGAAGTTGGGCTCAACGGGAAATTAATATGTCATGATTCATGGACGTCCTGCGCTCGGCCTGTACGTCATGACCTTGAACCAAATATTTTCCCGTCCCGTGAATATGAATATGAATATGAATATAGTTTATATCTGACCACTTGCAGCCCAGAGGCTGAACTACGGGTGCAGTGTAAGGTTGAGAACAGACGTCAGCATATCAGGCGCCTCTGGCAGCCGCTTCAGTCTATCGATCTCACCTTCCCACCCATCCCACCCCAGGGAAGGACATCCATCACACAGTAATCTCGTGTGTGGGAAATTAACGTCTCCTACCCCAACCCTGCAAGAGACGGGACCTCCATTTATTCGTCCCTATCCGAGAAGACTAGAATATCTAACCATTTCTTGATGTTATAGAAAGGTAGCAAATTCTTCTCAATTATTTTAAGACCTTGAGTGTTGGTCCGGCTGGGGCTCGAACCCTCGACCTCCCGCACAACAGTCCAGCGGTCTATCCATTGAGCTAACCGGGAGGACTAGATTTGTTTAATTGATTGATTGCTGCATTGTTGGACGAGAGTGATTAAATGAATAAATGGTTGAATGAAATAACGATTGAAGATTAATAGAAAGCACAGATTGAAACAACACAATTGCTATTTGACAGATGGACTCTCACTTTTTTCATTCACAGGCCGTCAGAGTTCCCGTTTGTCCAGTCGATCAGCAACGTCATCAGCGAGCAGAGCGTCAACTTCCGCCAGCTCTGCTACCAGTCGCAGCTCCAAACCTATTTGGAAATAATCCGATTAAGAATCAAGACATTTTTCTTTCCAGCACCGCTCATCTAAGGAAGCACGTGAAGGCCTAGGGCTTAGAATGGGCCCCGTTTCGATTCAACGAAGGGCTTTGAAAGACGGGCAAATGACATCGAATGTTAATTTTAATTTTGGACAAAGATTCATTCGATGAAGAGAATGGCTAAAGAATTCTTGAGCCTGCAGCATTCGTTAGGAATAGGTTGAAGTTGTGCAAGGTTTTGTCGAAATGTTAACAACCTTCATTTTACCATCGGGTGCTGGCACTCAATACACTCAGCATGTCCTAAACTTCATGTTCAGTCTTAACAATTAAACAATTATGCTCTTAATTATGCTACGAATAAAAACATTTTTTAAATGTCCTAAAAAGTAAAAACATTCCATAGGGAAAGAAAGTAGGAAAGCCAAAGAAACAACGCAAACCCCAAAAGAAAACTTTGAAGCGTTTTAGGTTGTTTTTCAAGGGAAGGTTTATTTGCAAATCAGCCTCAATTTGATATGCTTGATCAAGTTTTCTTGTTTTGCGTCCCGAGCGCTGGCTATTTTTGTGAACTCTTCCTTGTCGCCTCGCACTTCCACTGAGATAATTGTATGTCCTAGTGAGCAATTTGTTTACCTGAATCTTAATATATCAAAGTAAAATGCAGTATATTTTTCTGTCCTGGACGAGAATCTTTTTTCATATTTGATGGAATGAGAAAAAATGGATTTAAAAGAAAATGTCCCTTGTGCCCATTCATAATTTTAAGTGTTTATTGGCTCGGTGAAGAGTGTACGTTATTAGATTTTGAGTGGAATGGTAGCCCCTGATTACCTGTGTGAGGGTTCCTTCACACGACATGTACTTGGAATAACACTTTGTAAATAAAATGAGAGACTGCAGCGAAATACATTCTATACTGTCATTTACCATCGTCTTTCTTTGTAAAACTGTTTTTCCGTTCAGACGCCTGTTTTTTGGCTGGTTTGTATGTGAACCTAGTAGGGCACTACGTGTACTATTGTTCTCTTACCTTAACGCTGTACAGATCTATAAAAACTCAAAACTCAATTCTAGTACACTATCTTCTATCATCATTATACAACCACTAGTTCTTTCCAATGCAATAAAAATTGTACTATATCAGTAGCCACGTGCAGTCTCAGACTGCCAATTTTATTCAAACGGCACTACTTTTAGTGTTGGTAAATAATGATCCTTCCAGTTTTCTTATGAATCTCGCTTCTCTTCATCAATTTCAGTATCGACCCTCTACAGCTTAACGTCGGCATGTATATTCCCCTTTCTGTTCTCTATACATTTCTCAAGGTGCTGACTGAAAGAAGACTTCCAGTAAATTATTAGACACGTGTACCTTATGCGTACCTATTTTATTCATTCCAGCGGAAATTTTTAAGCGAGCCTTGTCCAGCGGTTCTTGAAAACTCAGTATGCGTAGTGCCGCGTAACGTAAACAAGTAATCCACGTTGGTAGCTGGGAATCTCTAAGGCGGAAAAATGGTTCCGGGTTGACGAGTTGAAGGATTGTTTGTCTTATTTGCCGTAATTAGTTTCTTTTTGAACGATCGATAAGGCACTTATGAGTTTTGATGAGGAAGTTTCGAGGAGCGAGCTGTCCGAATTGGTGCATTACTTCTCAAAATATCCCTTCCGAGCGCGGGATGCCAACTCAAAGGTGACATTTTCCACTCACTCATGTGAAGTCAAGATATAAAATCGATACAAACTTGTATCGGCACGTAGATTTATTCATGTTTTATCAAATGTATGGAAATATTATTCAACTATTTTATTCGTTTTCGTTTTATCAGATAGAGGGTATCCAGAAGAAATGTTTGCAGCTGTTTGCTAAAGATTACAAATTTACGGTTAGTCAATAAAATTTGTTAAATTCGATGTCCCGTCTCGAAATACTTCTAGTGATCGGATGACTTCTTGTTTCCTGTATGGAACTAGCGTGATATCCACTGTAGTTCCTTGCGTTTGCAATTTGGTATGACTTGTTTTGTTTATATTTAGACAATTACCAACAGCAATGGAGACTTGTGTAACCATTACCCACTTAAACTGGTTATTTTAGAGTCAAAGCTTTATTGTGGAGAATCGGAAAAGAACGAAAGGTAACTTTATACTTGTACTCTGGAGGATTCGATATTTGTCACAGGCGATGGGTTAAATTACTAGTTGCTTTTGAAATTCTGTCAGCACTGACTTTAACATCTGATCTGAATGAAAATGATTAACCTTTAAGGAAATGTAGTTCATTCTATGTTGAAGTGTCAGAAGGAACAAATTGAGTAAGATTTCCGCACCGCCCCTTCCTATCGTTAAACAGATCCATAGTCACAGAGGCAATCTATCGTTTTTATCATTGTTTACTTTATCCAAGAACTGTATCCATAATGGGGCTAATGGAACTCTCATCAAAAATTGAAATACATTGCCTCATCAATTTAGTGTCAGTAACCATTCAGAGCTTAATTAACACTCAGTTTATGGTATGATTTCTACAAAGCAAATAGCTCTTTGTAGCCACAACATTTTTTTAGCAAAGAATATAATTTTTCTATTAACACTAAGTAAAACATTTAGAGACATTGGAGATGGAAACCTGTTTTGGGCATTTTTCTCATGACAACACAGCGACTGATGTGTCATAGCATAATTTTAGTTTTATGACAAGAATTGGAGTGCAGTTGATTACAGTGCCACTCTGAGGTCACCTCCTACATCTACAGGTGGTTTCAATTTCATATGATCTTCACTTCCCAGATTTGATTTAAATGTAACTAGTGGATTCTCCCACAAAATTTTTTCAGTTAACTTTGTCGGTAAGAGAAAGATTCCTTCCATGCAAAACTAAAAAAAGAGAATTTTACATAATTTCAAACTGGATTGATAGTGTGACAAGCTTTTGATAAATGGAGATGAGAAATTCATAACATTTGATAAAATTAGCACTGAGATGAGAGAAAAATTGAGTGTGAATTGGGACAAATGGTTTAGATTTGCAGTTATTTTTCACTCCTCAGTCAAAAGGCAAATGATGCAAGGGAACTTCGAGATCTGTTTGTGAAGGCCAGATTCGCCAGATGCAGATCAAGATTTGTTGTTCCAGTTATTCTCTTTGAGGGAAAGGTAATAAAAGTTTGTTAAACAAAACAAATTCCTAACAAGTTACTTTATTATAAATAATGGTTATTGTTAGTTACAATTCTTAAAAATTTCCTTTATCTTTGTTTTTGTTTTGTTTTTGTCCTTTCTGAAGGATAAGATTTGTGATCCTTTTTACAACAGATGAGACCTTCTCTTTGTTTTTCTTAGAGAAATTAAATCAGAAAATATAACTCTTTACTGTAACATATTAATTTTGGACTAAATCATGTCTAAATACAACAAGATGTGTGGGATATTACATGGTGGCATGGAAGTAAGAATTTTCTCTCTTGAGTGTTGAAAAATATGTTACAATTAGGTGAAGCAAACAATTGATTTAATTTTCAAGAAAAGAAGAGAAATTTCTTACCTTCAAGCAGCCATGTTATATTCTATTTCTTATATAAACACCAATGAAATACTAAATCATTCCACATAGCAACAGTGATCGTTTCTCATGTGAAGGTAACATGTTATCTTCATGTATGAAGTTATCATGTTTTTGCATCAAAGCTCACTTACGATTTCATTGGTGTTCATCTTTTAAGAACAAATAAGAATCAGATGGATAGACTTGCAAATGAAGTCACATCCAAAAAATGTTTGATTATTGATTCCTGCAAACTACCACTTAACGTTTTTCATTTTGCTTTGTAGAATATTTGCAGATCAGCTACATTATCAGGGGGACCTGAAATTTATGGTCGATCTGGATATGATCTCCTTTTTGCAGGTAAGATTGTATTTGGTAATATCTTTTCTGACTGAAGACTTTGCAGTATCTTTCTAAGAAATGAAACTCTCAATTGTAGAAATCTCTGATTCTTTGGGGATGAAATTAGGAGTGTTTCCATTATCTGACTTGTGCTGGTTTTCTGATGATCAGTAATTATTCAGGAGATATGGAAAATAAATTTTCACTCCTGAGGACATCAGTGATAGTCTTTGGTTGCTGCCAGTCCCCTAGTTGCTAATAGCTCCAGTATCCCTGAACCACAGTCAAATGAAAGTGGCATGGGGAAGAATCTGAGTCAGTTGTGCAGCAAACCCCTGATAAATGGAAAAATCCGGAACAATTGAGAAAATTGTGAAATTGGGATTGTCTGGGGTTTTTGTGACGTGTGAAAACCAGCTTTAAGGCACTATCAAGATAAAGAAATTTAGCCATCCTAGCTGACAAAGTCCCCCACAAGTTGCTTTCCTATTTATTAATAAATGGTAGATGAATAATTCTAGGTGGTGAAAGTATCCCTGATAATCCACTAGAAGAAGTTAATGGAGTGAATGGCACAGGGTCTCTTTATTCAAGGTGAATAAAACTATGTATGATGTGATACAAGGATTAATATATAGACAAGTCATTTCTTTTTTGTCTTTTGTATTCTGTTTACTCACATGATCCTTGGAGAATGCTGATCTGAGCAGTATGCAGAACACTTGTTGCATATGAACCTGGTAATGGGTTAGATCACTGTTAAGATCTCTATAACTCAGTGGCCTATTAAAATGGCTGGTCTGGGGTTCCATTCCTCTAATGCTAACAAGGAATCTAAACGCACCTTTCTTTATGGCACTTTTAGTTGTCAAAACCTGTCGCAAACGATAGCTAAAACTGAACTATTTTCTAAGGCATGAGCTTTTTTCACCAGTCAGAATTCTTAGCGTTAGTGCAGCTTGCAAAAAATAAATATTACTTTTTGATTTTAATGTTAAGTGATTATTAGAATCAATGGATAAGGATGAAAGGATTTCACTCATCACTTTTTACTTGTTCACTAGCGCTAGTGGTGAATATGACTTATTTGACCGCATCCGAGGTCAGGATATCCGCTTGCTCAAAACCCTCAAAGTCAAGTACATCTGCGACTTAATGGTGGAGAAAAAGAAAGTCAAGTTTGGAATGAGGTAAGCATATCTTGTTACTACGTCAGTGCATTGTGAAGGTCACAAGACGTAAAGAATGTATTTGTCATTAAATAAATGTTTAATAAATTTGTGTTTAATGTTTTTAGGGTTTCATCTTCAGAGAAGGTGGACAAAATCCAGCGATACTCAGACTTTTGTTTGTGTTCTGTTCCTTATCCAGGTATATACTATAAAAAAGTTATTTTGTTCTATATTCGATATCAGGGCTCGACACTAACAGTAACCAACTAGCCACAGACTAGTAGAAATTCAGTTTTGGCTAGTGGTTTGCAATTTCCACTAGCCAGTTTGGCTAGTAAACAAACTGAAATGGTTGTAACATCTAAGTTGTCACTAGCTACTTGGCTAGTAAGTTGAAAAGTTAGTGGTGAGCCCTGGATATGTAAAATTATTCTAAACACAGGTGACTTTTGTAACATTTGAAGCAAGGTTTAAATCAAACTTAGAAAAACCACACTTTTTTACATTATTTTAATAGTGGGTTGAGTTAGCTTCAATGAATGTATGATGCTATTAATTTTGTACTGTGCTATCATGGTAACCAGATCTCTTTTCATAGGCTGTGAGTTTTTCAGAGATTTCAAGGAGAATGAGTACAATGCAGATGGTTTACATTTTAACTGGAAACAGGTAAATATATCAAGGACTTTTGGACATTTTCTTTTTATTTGAAAATAGTTTATTTTTAAGATCTGCTAGTTTGTTTCCTGTAGGGTATTGTCCTCATTTCTTTAAGAATCTTCAGCTTAGTTTTATCTTCTTTTGTAGGATTATGTAGACACAAAATTAAATGTTCCTGATTTGCTGCTGCATCGTCAAGGAATCGAATGGCACAACTACCAGGTTTGACAACAAAACTGTTAGTCAGTAAAGAGAATGGTAATGTTTAATCAAGAAAGGATTGAGTTTTTTTTTTTTTCTGTTTTAATAGTAGGCTAACTCGTTATAAAACCAGGCTTTTGATTTCTTAACTGTTGTGATGTATTGGCTGGCAAAGAATCAATGACTTGGTTATTAAGTGGATCTTTTGAAAGAAAGGTTAACGGCCATCACAAGTTGAGAAAAAGCTCCATTGGAGGGCAAGTACTTAGAGCCTCAGTTTCACAAAATTTGCCATCAATGGCAGGTTACCAACCATTATCAAAATTTAGTTGCTCAGCAACAAAATACCTCAACAAAATGTTTCCACTATTCACGAGAATCATATAAAGACCTTTTATGTTACATCATACTGTTTGTCATTTACAAGAACTAATATTGGTCATATGATGGGGGGGGGGGGAAATGTTCTATAACTTATGAACATCAACTGATACATAACTGTTTTGTGTAAAATTTTATCCAAGATGATTTGATATTTTGCTGCTGTTACAACATGTTGGCTCAGAGTCAATTTAAGTCTTTTTGTTTCTTTGCAGTTATGGGATCTTGTAACATTGACTCAAAACTATTTGAATCTTTTGATTAGCTGTGTCAAAGATGGTAGGTTCATCACCTCTGCTGTTTTACAAGAAAGTTGTAAATTTTCCAATTGCAAGGCAGTGACTGGTACATCTTGTCTTTTGTTTTATGCAGGGGAAGGAGGCCTTTTGATACACTGCATTTCAGGATGGGACAGAACTCCTTTATTTATTTCACTCCTTAGGATGTCTTTATGGGCGGTGAGATCATCATCTTTTGGTTTACTGGCTTTAGTTAGTAATCCACACTGAATGTTTAGAGAACATTTGAGTCGCGATTAAACAAGAAAATTTTTTTTTAAATCACGAGCCAAAATCGAGTCAATTATCCACATGTCACGAGGCTGATTAATATTCCAAGTGGGTTATTAGGCCAGTAAACTAACAAAATGTAATTTGGTTATATCAACTAAGTTGAAATTGTAAATTGGCCACCATAAAGGGTTAAAAAGCTGACGTTTTGAGTGTTAGCCCTTTGTCATCGCTCTGATGAACGGCTACCCTTCGAAACGTTAGCTTTTTAACCCTTTACGGTGGCCAATTTACAATTTCAACTCAGGTGATATTACCAAATTACCTTGTTACCCCCACCAACGCAGCGCTACAGTTTCTTTAGAAACTTTTCCCTCTTTAACAAAAAATTTATTGTGTTGCTATTCGATGATAATATTAGGAACCTAAGATTTCTATTGTGCCAAATTTGAGTATATGATGTCAGGACTTCAAATGCACCATTGCTTTTTTCATACTCTAACTGTTTTCATTGTTTATCTGAACAGGATGGCAAAATTCATCAGTCGCTGAGTCCTGCAGAGCTACTTTTCCTGACCATAGCTTATGACTGGTTCTTATTTGGGTAAGAGTTACTTAAGGAAGAAAATACTCTAGAGAAGTTGCCGAATTTGCAGCACTAAAACAAGTGTATCAGATCTTCTAAAAATAGCGTGTATCTTGAAATTGGGGACTATTAAATAAAGCAGAAAATTTTTTCTTTGTGTGATTCTTCTGTGGCAAAAAGTTAAAGTTACTACACTCTTTTGTCGCTTTAGGCATGGTCTCCCTGAAAGACTTCAGCGTGGAGAAGAGGTGAGAATCTCAGTTTATATTTGAAACTGTGGCTTTGACAGTAAGATCCTCTCAAATTTGTCCGGTCCCCAGCACGTGGCTTCGTTGTTAAGTTGATGGTAGCGTCCGACTGGTATCTAAAAGCACGAGTTGGAATCCGATTCAGGCTTCTTCTCTGTAATTGCTGAAATTTTAGCTCACTTAAAGTGTCTATACGGCCAACAGGGTTTTTATTGTTGTAGTATCTCTTTAACATGTAAGAAAGTATTCTAAAAAAAAAAAAATTGATTCTGACGCCTCTTCACCCTAAAATCGAGCTTTAAAGTTCCCGCTTCGGCCACGCCCAATGAAGTTGACCGCGTAAGGGAAGATTGGTGATGAGTGGCGTCACTCCAAGAGCGTCTCGAGCGTCGTTTTGTTACTTTGCTCCAGATCAAGTGGTCCGGGTTTGAGCCCTGGCTAGGAACAATGTGTTGCGTTCTTAGGCAAGACACTTTGCTCTCATAGTGTCTCTCGTCACGCAGCTGTTTAATGAATTTAATACTAGGGGGGTAACCCTGCGATAGACTATCATCCCATCCAGGCGGGGGGGGGGGTAGAAATACTCCCAGTCATATCATGCTCTAGAAACTGGAGTTAAGCGCTGGCCTGATGGGCCATTTGGCTCGTAAACAGACTTAAATGAATCATTGCAAAAAAGCATATATACCAGGAAATGTTCTGTATTGTGAAAATCATGTCTTTTTTTCACTGCATACTTATGGGTGTTTTTCTTTCAGGTTTTCTTCTTTTGTTTCAATTTCTTGAAAAACATAGCTTCAGATGACTTTTCTGTAAACTCAACTTCAACCCGGAGGTACATGTGTGTTCGTTTGTGTGGTTGTTTGTTTGTTTGTTTATTTTTGTTGAAATTTTAAAGATTTAAGATGACAAAGTGTACTTACGCATATGTGCACGATCCTCGCAGTAAAGCACTATTTAAGCAATAGTGAAAATCAGACCTGAAAAAATTCAGGCCTGTACGGAATTTGAACCACTGACCTCTGTGATACTAGTACAGCGCTCTACCAATTGAGCTAACAAGCCAACTGGTAGCAGGCCATCAAATTAATTCGACATAAACCCGTAAGATGGTAAGTTTTTAAAGTGAACTTACTAACAATTGTTCGGATACATTCAACCTCATAAAATTTCCTTAACACGATGTGTCTACGAACAAAGCGTTACGCTTTAGGCTACGCGAATTAGGCTGTGTGAGATGTTGGTAATTTACTTATTTCTACAACGGAATATTGTTTTGCGTTCAAATTCTCTGTCAAATGGGGCGCAAATTTGTGAACTTAGGCAGGCATAAAACCTCCTGAAACAGATCTGTGTATGTATTCCTTTAACCTGTTATTCAACGTATGTTCATGGAATGATTATCGTCAAAGACCCCTTTTGCTAACCTAATGGTCTAACAAATTGGTACGCTTTATTTTTAGAGTTGGTGATAAGCGAAGTGATTCTATAGGTCCGTTTGATGTTGGTGCAGTTCTCTTGGGTATGTTAAGCGTGCTTGATCCTCACTGCTCTTTAAAGTGTTTTAGAAAGCTATTTAATTTGCACCCGCCTTTCAGATAGAAACGGAAAGTGAGGACGTGGTGATATGGTTATAGATAAATTCTTGTCTCTTGATAGAAGTCAAGTCTGGGAATTTATATTGGCGTGACACGAAAGTTTTAAAATGTAACATTTAACGTCCACTTCCTTTTGAATTCACATTTTCGCGATCAATTTTCAGGTGACTTGCCCTTTTTTTCGTCAAATGATACTCAGTTTATCGATTGTTACGCATGAGTTACCGAAGTCTGAGTAGTTTCGATAGCGTGACATAACATGTCTAATGTGTGACACGTTACATATTCTTTTCTCCTGCACAGATGATCGATTGTCACGCGGGAGTAACTCAAGTCTGAGTAGCTGTAGTAGCATGACGTCAGAACAAAGAACAAGTTTCTTTATAGGCCAGGAGATAGCAGAAGATACAGAACTAGCTTCCTCCTCGTTTACCCAGTAAGTTAGTTAGTTACTGTCCGATGATATTCGTTTCTATTGTTCCACATTATTGAGTGATAAAAGCCTCAAATAAGTGCCTCAAATGCTGATTTGTTAATACTGTTCATTTTTGTCCTCAGTTGTAATGGGGCACGCGCAGCGTATCATTCTCCGCCTCGTTCTCACGCAGATCATGAATTTCGTCACCAGTCCACTAGTCCTCTTCCGGTACCTCGTCGGTCAAGAAAGAACTCAACTCAGTCTGATCAAGTATGGACAGGCACACTGATTATTCTAAAAATTGCAGAATCTATATCTGAGGCTTTCTCTTTTGGATCATATTTCTTTTTCTTTTCTTTATTCCTTCTCTAATAAACGTTTGCCAGTTTTGAGAATTTGATGTTATGCGAAGAAACATCCAGTATAGGAAAGAGGTGTTGTGAAACATATCATGAACAACGACAAAGAGAATATATAGGAAGTTATCGCTCTTAAAAGTACATTTATCGTTCACTCGTTCGTTTACTGTTTCTACGTTGCCACTGTAATTAAACCTTTTTGTTTTTTATTAAAAGAACGGAATTTGTACCATATGTTAAATTTTCCTCATACTCTTTTTTTTCTTCGTAGAAACCATCCTTTACATGTGGAAGGTAATTCTGAATCACTCAGCTTTTTCTCGTTCTCTTCAGCGGTTAAATTTGGGTGACTTCCTTTCACTCGTGCCAAGTAAATTGAATTTTATTTTATTTCCTAGTTGGCAGCTGATATCTGGAACAGGAAGTCCGAATGGAACTACCACCGTCCGGGACTCTCCAATATCCGCACTTGGACACGGCAGCAGCTCCACAAGCTTGTGAGATATTGAGTTTATTTTTTCTTGTTAAGTTGCCTCCGTTAAATTTTGTTTTCTTGCCGACTGTGTAGGGTGCCATATACTTGAGTAATTTTTCATTTTTAGCGTTTTAAGTAGCCAGCTTGGCTGGTGTTTAGTTACTATTGCCCTTGCCGTTCCTTATTGTCTGCCTGTCTGTTTGATTGTCTGTTTACAGAGCCGAAAGCGTGGACGAGGTCTCTGAGCGACAGATGCGTTTAGGAGCCGTCCGTAGCCTGTTTCTTCAACTTTATTTCAAGGCTGTTGGCAACACGACAAAGTACGAAGGCAGCAATTCTTTCTCAAGTATTCTCGATCAAGTAAGCGAGAAACTACGCGAAGGATGGGGCACCGTCGTTTAGGCTAATCAATTCTAATTCGATTCAAAATTTGTTTGAACACCCTCTAACCGAAAAATTGCACTTGTTCAAGTACCCAAACCGAGTTTGCTCAGTTCATGGTCATCTTTCACTCACCTGTACTCCCTTTACACTAAATGCCACATTTTAAATCTCAATCCGATCTAGAAACATCGGACAAGAGAAAGCACCTGGTGGAATGTCCATTGCGAAATTCTCATTTCTTTATTCCATCTTATACCCTGACTTACAGTTGTGCTGCGATTAAATCCTCTTGTTGTGTTAATTATCCTCTGAATCATATCTCTTTATTCAAAGAATTGAAAATTTGGAAAATTATTTTCCACCTCGTTCCACTCTCCTCCTCCTTCGCGGGAAGAAAGTGTGAGGACACTGGGAACGAGTTTGGTTTTATCAAACCAAGTCTGGCGTAGTATTTGCTCGCTGAACCCAGTTTCTTTTCACCTAATTTTAGAGAAAATACTGGACGACGTTCTTCAAAACAAGTGAAATCACAGAACTAAACTGAATTTTACGTAGCTGTTAGATGCAGTGAAAACAGATGAACACAAACATTTTAGACCAGACCCACTAAACTTTCGACAACGATTAACTCTGAACAATTCTCAAATTAAAAAAGATCAGCGTTTAGTCCCTTTCATAAACGAACTGAACAGCCTCTTTTTCTGCAAGGGCTGTGAGAGGCTGTGTGAGCAATCTTCTGAGCGAGCGATTGGTAACTAGTGCAAAGCGCAAGGGACCTTGGAAGGAATTAACAACTATGCTTTCCCTTCCTTTTGCGGCCCATAATTTGTGGCCCATAATTTTGTAAGTAGAGAGAGGTCTGGGCAAGAGGCTGCTGTAAGACCAGGCAAATCTTATGAAAAGGAAGAAAATTACGAAAACAAAATTAGTATCTAATTGTTGTTAGTAACGAATATTTGTTATTCAGAAGAACATTGGAAGTTTTCTATCGCGAACTAGAGGAGTGGATGTATCGGTGAAAAAATTAAGTCTTAAGAAAAAATGCATTACTTGTAATGGTAAATTGTTTATAGTCCTCCCAGAAAAAAAAAAATTGTCGTTAATTACATTGAAGAACTCATGACCCCTGATAATACACACATCCTAATATATTCACATTTAAGATACAGTTTGAAAGTTGAAGTTCTTGATTATCTATAAGAGCATTTTTTTAAGTTACTTCACATCTAATATCAAAAATAAATTTTGTTCTCAATATTTGTCTCAGAATCTAGCAAGTGTCGTAAGGTTTGTTGTTATTTGAGAAGGTTTTGTAGAATTTTTTTTCACCCTTTCACTCCCGAGATCTCATTAGTAACTCTTACTGTCCATCACACAATTCTTTTGATGTTAGTTTGGAGAATCTGT